TGAGTTCAGTGGTGTAAAAAACACAGGCACTGGTTAACAGCGATGTGGAAAAAAGTGAAATGGTCAGATGAGTCATCCTTCACCATATTCTCCACAAGTTTGAGTGCATGTGTATTGTACATCAAGATAAGTACAGGCCTGAGTGCTTTAACCCTACAGTGAGGGGATCTGGTGCCTCTGTTATGCTTTGGGGGGCATTGTGCTGGCATGGTTTGGGTCCACTTGTTCCCTTTAGAGAGAACACGGCAAATAAACACAAAGTTGTTCTGAGTGATAACCTTTATCCTATGATGAAACATTTTTGTCCTGATGGGAATGCTCTCTCCCAGGATGACAATGCTATCATCCATAGGGTGCAAGGGGTCACTGCATGGTTTAGTGGATTAGTATGATGCTATGGCATATGATTCACCAGATCTTAACCCAGTTGAACACCTGGTGGTGAAATTGAAGGAAAGATCTGGATTACAGGCAATAGTTAAATTAAAAAGATATGTAAATATTGTTCCAATTTGTACCAGGAAGAAATATAAACGCCAGCAACCACAAATGAGACAATACCTTTACTGCAGCATGTCAGCACAGCAATGAAAGCCCTTTTAAGAAATTAAGGTGTCTGTCCACTTAAACACTAGAGGGCTTTAAATTTGAAACGGTTACAGGAAGTGTTGAGTTTGTATTAACCCATAATGCAGTAACTTTAACATGACCAACGAGAGCTACTGAAAACGAGGCTTTGTACTAAAAACAGAGCAGGAATTAGAAATAAAGACCTGCCTCTAATACAATCATAATTGTTCTGTTGTCTGACAATGCTGACAGTAGGCAGAGTACAAATAGGACGGGATGATGTCAGTTGTTTACAGCAGTTCCACAACAGTTTTCATCTACGCCCTCAATTTTGCACCATATGCAGTCCAGCCATATACAGGGTCTTGACCTTGTCTCGTTTCAACTCAAAGTGCTTGAATTTCTTTCTTTCAAACATGCAATGAAGGTTAAATGTGACGGACCTACAAATCCTACAGAATCAACAACAAACTGATCCTGATTGTAAAATGTAGTGGGGGCGATGCAGTGTTTTTCCTATCTTGTTGAGTGTGTTCTTGTTATGGGAGAAGATCATTAATGAACCTGATTTCAAAATCAGTCATCATTTTGAAGGTTCCTGTAATCAGAGCCTGCCCTCCAGAGTGCATGGGTTATGTGTGTAGTGTAAGTCAAAGAGCTGTAATGTGACAATGCATGGCAGGCTTGATAGACTGAAATGGATACTGGAGAGGAGTAGTGATCAAGGTTTGAGGACAGTAATAGGCAGAACTGATCCTTGAACAGAACTGCCACTCTGGGTTGCTGAGTCCCAGGAAGAGAGATTTGGGGTACCAGTTCCCTCTAGGCATCTCCTGATGGACTTGATAATGGACAAGTCAGACTTGTTTGTGAGATCGTAGTGTCAGTTTCACTTGGTTTTACACACTGGATGGATGAAGCTGGGGGAGCATTGAAACTGCCAGGAAGGCTACTAACACTGATTGAATCAGGATCTTTTCACAGTTGATTGCTTGACCATAAAATACAAATTCCTGATGTCCTCCCCCAAACCAAATTGGTTTATGTATGTTTTATCAAATGATGCTGTATATAAATGTGCTTCTCTGACATGTTCTGTTGAAACACGTGCTGGTTTTCAAAACCAAAGATTCGGCAATCTGAGATGAATTTTAAATTTGACTGGCACAACTAGGACAGAGGGAAGCTTTGTCCTCATCATAATGAGTTGTCATGGAAGCTCTTAGACTTAGTGTTATACCTGCTTGTCCTTTGTCACCACCTGCCATCACAAATAACTCACACAGTGTCTCAGTGCAACACTATCTTAGCTTCTGGCAGCTTGAAGTATTGATGCCATGTTTTTTCTGCTTTCCAACCCTCTCAGGTTTCACCATGAATAGCGTAGATAGACTCTTCGTGTTTGATGGCAAGGCTCAGATACGCTACCATATAGTTAAGATAATGAATCTCCTACAGCTTTTGTCTTCTTCAATACCTCTTAGTGGAGGTTGTGAATGACCTCCTATCACACAACAGGCCTTCAGGGCTCATATAGAAACCAAGGAGCTGAATTGGAAATGGCCTTGTGTGAGTAGTGGTGCTTCACTGAATGTGAGTGAGATGGAGTCTGGTACAATGATGAAACTGGTAGATGCAGCCCTCTCACTCAGCCTCATGTGCGCACCCAATACTTATCACAACATATGCATGGACAACAATTTTAATTCGTTTTACACCCCTTGTTGCTTAGCAGCAGTGCATCAAGCACATTAAACACTGAGTACATGATGACATCCATTTCCTCTGGGACAAAAGTAGCCACGTCTCTAGACCTTAAACTAGCAACCACAGCGTTCGTAGTGCCGTGCAGATGTGACTCTGCATGGTCCCAAAGGGTTACAGTCATTTTATGGCTGACACGGTTCACCACCACAGTGTTGCAGCCAGAGAATGTGCAGCCACCATTTGTACAGTCTTACAGTGTAAAGTATGGTTTCTTAAGCGCTGTGTGTGGTACATGGGCACATACACACCCACAAACAAGCTGTCATCTCTGGCAGATAGATAGCCTTTGTGTCCAGGGATGGTACAGCAGGGCACATCTGTCCTTGTTGAGTTACCAGAGCAGGGGGAATTTTAGGCTTCACAAACAGAACTGAATGTTTTAGTTGTCTTGTAGTTGTTTTTGATGTGGTGGGTTTAGTTATCAGCTCAGCTTAACATCTTGCAAAGTGTCATCCCCAGTAAAAATAAAACTTGGCTGATTTAACAGATGTGAATTACGAGTACAAAATGCAGCCTTAATGCGGACAGCGATTTACGTTTTATTTTCCCACCTTATGTTACAGTTATTTGAAAGCCTTTGCTTTACAGGTGACAAACTCTTAGTGGGAGTTTTTCTATACATACATATGTTTTGGAATGTCCTGTGGCCTCCCCGTGTCTCTCCCTCCCTTCTGCCACTCCGTCTCTCCAGGGGTTAAACCTGCGCCTACTCTCAATCGGAGACCGGTTTGAACCGGTTTTCAGGGAAGTGCTTTTTGTCTCTTGTGGAATCTTGGGATAGGGTCATGTGGAGTCATCATTATGTCACATTGGACTACAAAGACCTTGAGTCAGCTGTCTGAATCAGAAATCCAAGATCTTGGCGTGGACATGCACTTAGTTTGAGCCATAGTCACCAGTTAAGCTGTCATATCAGAATCTTTAAACATGCACAGATGTTCATGTGCTCAAAATGTTTATAAGCATCATATGTTTATAACGTTTATTCAAGAGAGTCTGCTAGTGTCTTTTCCATAATGAGTAGTTGGCCTACATTGGTTTGACTGTTGCACAGTGGTGCTATTTTTCTGCTGTGTAATAGGTTTTTCCCAGAAAGTAAAGTGGATCTCTCCATCCTGTGCTCTTACTGTACTGAGTGCGATTTGGGTCAGCATTTGGGGCACTGGCAGTAGAACAGGAGACGCCTATACACCTCAGGGTTGTTCCTTTTTATACTGATCAACCTAGAGCTGTAACGGTTAGTCAATTCATTGATCATCGTCGTCATTTGTTAAGCAAATATATTGACAAAAGTAAGGATTTGGTCATTTTCTTTGTCATTTATGTGATAGTACATGAAATGTCTTTGGGTTTTGGATTGTTGACCAGACAAAACAAGTAATGCTTAGATGTCACTTTGATTGATCATTGCATTCATAAAATAAACAGTTTATGAATCAATTTATCAATAATGATGACTTTCAGCTGTGAATTTAGAATTGTACATGAGTCAACAACAAAGTGTATAATCAATGTGTTTTTAAGGATGATTATTTGCCTCAACCTGGGTTTACATTCAGTAGATGGACTCATTCGCCAGGTTTGTTTTGTAGTCCAGTGAACATCAGGGTGAAGCTAACACATTATTTATTTTCATTTTGTACTGGTGGCTCTGCTGCTACTTCATATTGCATATAATTACAAGTGCAGGATTTGGTAGCACAGTCTTTCTTTGTTCCTAGTTTAATCATGTGTGGAATAAAATGTGATTTAAATTACCTGAAACTAGGAGACACTTATATTCACATACAACAAGTTGCGTTGATTGAGAGCCTTTTGTTTTAGGCATCTCTCCCTTCAAACTTATTGTGTGTTATTGTAGATTCATATTGATAGATTTGGTTTAGCATCTGCCTGTTGCCTGTTAGACAAAGGCAGCGTCTCAGGTCAGCTATCACTGGAGAGCTTACACCTGAAACTGCTGTCGTCCAGTTTTATCGACACGACTTTAAATTGAATCGAGACAGTTGAAACTTTTTGTATTTCCTGTGATGGATGCTCCGCAGTGTTTACTACAGGCACGGCAGGTTCTAATCGTACCTCAGCCAAGGTAACTCAATAAAACAGTTTACTTCACAAGATGCACAGGACTACTTCTTTCTCACTGGACCTATACTCGTCCTCTCTATTTCCAAATCAGATTTCAGGATATCCTCTGTTACCGTTGGATTTACTGGTAATCGAAAATGACTGCATATGTTTCTTAAAATTAAACTCAATAAATCACCCGATGTCATAAATGTATTTCGTGTACCGTCCTTCAGAATTTGGCAGTAGCACAACGTACACGCATTACTATGTGGTTGTTATGGTAACCTCATTGGGAAAAAGAGAGGCAGTTCTACAAGGGGATAAGTCACTCAAAAGAACCTTCACATTAGTGTAAAGCAGAGATTTTGATAGTGAAGTGTGCAGAACAGTATGATTCAATCATGAAAAAAAAAATTCAGGTTGAAAGTTGCTTTGTGGAAACCACCACTGTTTTCTCACATGTACAACATCTAATGTAGATAATTCAGTGTCCTACAGTGCACCTTGGTCTATGTGTTACTGCCTAAACCTGTACCCTATGTATTGTAAATGTATTTAGACTGCTTGTAACTGTTTTCTTCTTCTCTCTCCAGGGTGAGAGCAGCCATGTCAGAGGAGGCAGTGCGACAAACGCGCAGCCAGAAGCGGGCTCTGGAGAGGGACCATGCAGCTCTTGCCGGGTCCCCGGGGGACATGGACGGCAAACGGGTTAAGCTGGAGAGGGGAGATGCAGCTGGAGCTCCCCTGGCTCTGGTGGGATCTGGAGCTGAGGGCGTCAAGCTGAAGAGTGAGCAGGCTGCAAAGGTAGCAGCCAGCATCCTAAAGGCTGGGGAAGTGAAGGCCACCATCAAGGTGGAGGTGCAGACTGGAGACGAACCCGTTGACATGAGCACATCCAAAAGGTTAGACAAGGAAAAGATCACAGGGTTTGATGTTATGGTCCCCTGTTTTTGTGCATTGGACTTCTGAATTAATATGAACAGTGCTTTGTGGTGTTCATGCATAAGGGCTGAGAGCTTGTTGGTCATTCAGTTTACATGATACTGTCAGAGCCATTAGTCTGTGAACAACATTGAAAGAAATGCTATAAACACTTTGCCTTAAACAGACTATTCCTGTAGACTGAGCCTCAGTATTGCAGAGTCAGCCAACTTTGTCCACAGTAAACCCTTTGTAAATATTTCCAGCTGGACAAAATGCATCATAATCTGCTTACAAACCAGTTTGTGTCTGCGAGGGTAGAAGGTGCAAGGAATAGTTTGCTGCTGTATTTCTAATATGGTTATGTTTAATTGATGTTGAATCATTATATGGGTTAAAGGAAGGTGTGACCTAGTGTGTGAGTTTGTTTAAAAAATTGTTTATTATTATTCATGTACTGCAGGCCTTGGATTGAATGCATGCATGCACAGTGCGTGGTTTTGCGTAGACATGAGTCTATTGGAGTTTCAGGTTTCTCTCAAACTTTGCAGTAGCAAGTGGTCTGACAGGAGTCATACAGGAAGTCGCTGTGTGGTTGTCGGCAGCCTGCCCCCATTTTGAAAAGTTTGAGGCTCCTGAGGCCTGGGCTCCATTTTCTCCCACAGCAGCACCTGAACTCTGCCTCGCACTTCACACAAAATGAAGGCTATGTGTCACAAACTGGTTCCAACTGGCCGTTGCCATGGTTTCCACATTGGAAGGAGCAGTTGGAGGAAGGAGGGGCCAGGAGGGGTGGTGGGTGTGTCACATGACCACACAGAGAAATGCCTGATGTCATGTGACGTGTTTGGTAGAGCGATAAATACACACAGTGATGTGATGGCAGTTAAAGTGGAACAGAGAGGTGATTCAGCTGAGAGTGTTGGCTCTGTCTCTGGTAAAGTTCACTGAAGTGTCACCTTTGGCCCCTATTTAACCCTCAGCATGTTTGGTGTGCTTATTGACTGCAAGGTGATTACCTTATTGATGTGTACAAAAGACTTCTGAGGTCTGAGTAGGCCAACTTTGTAAAACTATTTGTGAAATGTAACAAACCAAATTTCCCTTTCCAGATAGCAATACAGTAACTGAGCATGTCTTGAATAGGTGTCACTGAGAAGAAGCAGTACTACCTTCTATTCTTCAACAGTTTTCATGCTTTCTGATGCTATATATACATTTTGACAATATGTCAATATTAAAACATATCTTTGCAATGCCTGTTGCCTATTCAAAGCCTAGCTATTTCATTCATGTAAAGAGCCTTATGTAGCTTAAAATGGCACTTTGCAAGGTTGCATTGCGTTTTGAACTGTATGACCTGCACCTAATAATGCCTTATTCAGCAGTCCCATAGTGGGGTCAGTGTGAAGCCACTATCTGGGAAGCATGCAGAAACACTGGACCTTACATAACCAAGCTGGTGTGTGTTGTGATGCTTGTGTAAGCTGTTCTCAATAGAGTAGTAGCAACCACCACAAGCTAGTCCATGTCATGCTGTCGGAGATGCCAAGTCAGTCAAAACACTGGGTCACCATTAAGCTTTTGTGAGAGATAATGAAGCTCTCAATTCCCCTCTAATGCTACTTGTGTCTGGCATAGTTTATCATTTCATATGCGCGGAATGTAAACAGAGCTGCAGAAGAAAACCGCTGCCCCCACAGGCTTCAGCTGTGCTTTAGGAGCGTAATCTTTCTCAGAATAGCAGTGTTCTCAAAGTACCAGGATGTCAGACATCTTTCTAAATTTGAATAGACACACATCTAGGCAAGTACATTCCAGGAAGTAGCAGTACACTGTATTAACATGGTTTGATTGTGTCCTTAGCAGCTGGACAGAGTTATGTTATGACATTAAATGTTTGTTGTGGTTTGGTGTGCGATAGTTTAGTCTGCTGAAAATATCATGTCCTAATGCAAATATAAACGACATGGTATTTACATAGCTGACCTTGTTGAATGCAGTGTCTTCTTGAGGGGTGCAGTTAGACAGCTGTTGTGTGGAGAAGATAGCAGAGAAGCGTGTCTGAAGATAGGAGCGTGCCAAAGGAAGAAAGAGAGTGAAGAACTGAGTCAGTGAGTTGGAGTATAAAAGATGAAGAAGTAAGTAAGGATGGGGGAGGGGTGTGTGAAGTAGTGACTGAGTGAGTGACTGAGTGAGAGAGAGAGTGTACACAATAGGTTGGCTCCTGGCCATGTATTCCCCTCCCCCTCACTGTCACCCTCTCCAGTGTCTCCAGCGGACCTCCGCTCTTCTCAGCTTGTGACTCTGGTGTCGGCAGCTGGGAGGGAGGGGAGAGCTGAGGCCCAGGCTGTGCCGATCCGGCTAGGCCACAGGCCTCGCCACAGAGGTAGGGGAGGGGTGAGGCCCTGTCTGGGTGGTAAACTGGGCCTAAGCTTGAAGCCCTGAAGCCTCTCATTCGACAGCGCCTGAACAATTATATAACTTCACTGCCTGTGTGCATGCATAACTCCACATTATGACCCAAACATCTACCTCTCACATACTGTCATATTACAACCCCTGCCTTACCTCATCTTCCACCAGTCCTCGCTACTGGTCAGACTTCTATTTTCAAACCCACCAACCCTCAAGACCTGACAGGATCCACGCTGTGATAGTGGCAGATTTATTGTTCCGCCATAGTCCATGCGCTGCAAAATTATAACCAACCCCTACTTCTTATCCCCACCCCTCTCCAGATTGATGCACATGTATCTTGCCACTAGTCGCCTTTGTTCTCCTTAGTCCTCAGAAAAAAACACTTTTGATTTTATCAAAGGCTTGAAGCCTTTTCCTCCTATACAAAACAATGCAGTTAATTTGTCCTTTGTTTGCATGTTGTTTGTGACTGACTCTGCTGTGTCTGTTGGAAGGGAGAGAGCAGGAGGTCCATCAATGTTACCTTTCGCTGGAGATAATGGGTTGTTGCGATCTTCCCCTGTCGCCATTACTCCATTATTGATCTCTTGGTTCTTGTCTGCTTGTGCGTCCTAGTGCACATTTGCACTGCAACAGGGAAGATAAACTCATAATTATATATTGCCATCTGCTGGACACTTGATAGAACTACAAGTTAGTTGCAGCTGATGGTAATTGCAGTGTTCTAGACTGAAATATAATAGTTTTGAATTTTAGTTGTGTGTATTAATCAGTCAGTCGTAATTAATCACTATTCTTCTTTTCCGTCTTTTAATATGTCTCCCCTCAGTGACATAAAGAAGGAGAGGCAGCCACCATCACCAGATGATGTGATTGTGTTATCAGACAACGAGCCATCCAGTCCTGTCATGAACGGCCACTGCTTCACAAAGACCGACACAGATAAACTTATGGTAGGAAAACGGAATTAAACATTGCATACAGATCAGTTTGGTTTTTCCCCCTGTCTTCAATAGTCTTCATTCTCATTTACTGTTACCTGCTGAACTGGAAGATCAAACCAAAAACTCATACTGCCACACACACACACACACACACACACACACACACACACACACACACACACACACACACACACACACACACACACACACACTTTTGTTTGTTCATAGTTTCAATGGTAAATTTGAAGACTTGTTTTTGGATTAATTACTACTGACATTATTTTAAACTGACTGTCGTGAGTTGAGTTGTCCAGATTTATCTGCTATAAATCACCTTTAGTCAGCCTCGTTATCCCTGTCTGATAAATGAGTACTCAAGACCTGAAAACAATTAGTATGAACTTCCCCCTAATTGTCCCCTAAGATATTGTTTTTTCTGTTATTGTGTTTATAGAAGAGTTCTCCTGGGGAGAGGGAGCGGATCATCAAGCAGCTGAAGGAAGAACTGAGACTCCAAGAGGCCAAACTGGTGCTGCTTAAGAAACTACGACAAAGCCAGATCCAGAAGGAGAGCACTGTGCAGAAGGTAAAAACCCCAAAAGAGGAAAGGGAGTGTATATATTTCATTTATTTTTGTTTAATCGTGTTTTGTTGCAGTCAATAATTTGCAAAATTTGTTTCAGGTTTTATGAACAGAAGGCTTGTAGTTCTCCTTAAATTCTATTGTTGTTTTCCCCATTAACATTATCAATGAAAACCTATAAACTTTTTCCATACTTTAAAATACATACAGCTTAATGGACTTATACTATATCCTCTTAATTTCTAGGCGACCGGCTCTGTAGCCACTCCTCCTCCTCTGGTGAGAGGAAGCATCACATCAAGCAAAGGACCCCTCCAGGTAGTTATTACACTTGGTTAGAGCCACTTGCTAGAGCTTGGATTGATGAGTGTTGTGCCTGTACATTGTGTTACATTACACAGTAGAGGGCAACTGAGTTTTTCTTTCAGAGACTTTCAAAAAAACAATAATTCAAGTACACTGATGATGAATGATTTTAACAATATGCTTCAAAGGCAGTAATTTACTGTGTAATTGTATTCTTGCATCATCATCAGGTGACAGGTCGTAGCTCAGGCACGGTGATCCCTCCTCCATTAGTGAGGGGTGGGCAACATGTCCCGTCCAAACACAACTCTCAGATTGTCATGCCACCTCTGGTCAGAGGAGCCCAGGTTAGTAAGTCACAACACGGTCTCACATTTAAAGTGAACTCATTTGAAAAGTTCTGTCAATTTCTCACTTATCTTCACATGTCTTATCTTGTCTTTGATGGCTACCTCTGCGTGTGTGCTGTTATCAGCCTATTGCAGTTACTCCTCAACAGATAGCCAGTCTACGTCAGCAGCAGCAGCAGCACAGCGGCTCAGGCCCCCCTCCACTCTTGCTCGCTCCCAGGGCTTCTGTGCCCAATGTCCAGGTCCAGGGCCAGAGGATCATTCAGCAGGGACTCATTCGCGTGGCTAATGTGGCCAACAGTAACGTCATGGTCAACATCCCTCAGGTGAGGACAATATTATTATAAAGTATTATTATAAATGTTGTTATCACACAGGATAGAAATGCAGTATACTTTTTCCATGGCTAGACTCTACTTTATTGCTGTCCTGCTTATGGTCAACCATAAGAACATCATCCCTATGTGTTATCCACTTAAATTGACTTTATCGTCTGTATCCAGGCCTCTCCGACCAGCCTAAAGGGCTCCTCAGTGTCACCCAACTCGGGCATCAATGATTCTCCAGCCAGCCGGCAGGCGGCTGCCAAGCTTGCATTGCGTAAGCAGTTGGAGAAGACGCTATTGGAGATACCTCCACCCAAACCTCCTGCCCCCGAGTTCAACTTCCTTCCCTCAGCAGCCAACAACGAGTTCATCTACTTGTTGGGTTTGGAAGAAGTGGTGCAAAAACTTCTGGAGATGCACGGCAGGGGTGGGTAGATCACACTGTGGTAGCTAGTTTGGGGATGCTGTAGTGCTATGGTATATCTATTTGTAGAATGTAAAGGTATACATCTAGTCTAAAGGTCTCTGCTTTTTACATTCATCACACAGGTAATCTGGGTCCAGCTGCTGCAATGGCCAGTTCCATTCCTAAAGAGCCATACACCTGTGCCCAGTGTAAGACAGACTTTACCTCCCGCTGGAGAAAGGAGAAGGCTGGGACCATCCTCTGTGACCAATGCATGTCGTCCAATCAGAAGAAGGCCCTGAAGGCTGAGCACACCAGTCGGCTGAAGGCAGCCTTTGTTAAGGCACTCCAACAGGAGCAGGAGATTGAACAGCGAATCCTCCAGCAGGCGGCATCTTCTTCCTCCTCTGCCTCCCCTGTCTCTAAAACCTCCTCGTCCTCCTCTCCCTCACTGTCCAAGAGTGAGGTGCTGGTGTCTCAGCAGTACAAGCAGGTCAGGGCTGCCATGCAGCACAGACCTGTGTCTGCCCACCACTCCATTAAGCAGGTTAGCAGGGGTTTTCAAAGTGATGGATCCACACTGTGGTTTCAGTTTAAAACCATGTTTTTTCTTTTTATTTTAGATTTATATAATGGCTTACCAACACTCCCGTCACTTTGTCTCTCTGTACAGAGTCAGCTGTCACACAACATCCAGTCTGCAGTGAGGTCTCGTGGTGTGGTCCACACGTTCCCCTCTTCCTCTCAGCTGCAGAGTGCGGTGACAGCAGCAGCGCTGGGCAGCAGGCCAGGTAAGCATGCTGCAGCACGCCCGTTGCAGCAGGGGGCAAAGGTCAGCGCCGGCGGCAGCAGCAGCAGTAACCAGGGCAACGTGGCTGCCTGGAGGAAGCAGAGCAGTGGCAATACAGGTAGATAAACGTGAGACGAGGTTGTACCAAGAATGTGCTCCACCCGCTCTCGCTTTCTGCTCCTCTTTGGGGTAATCACTCTCTTCTCAGGTGGATTCCTCTCTAGCACTGTCACTTCTCGTTCTTCCCATTTCCTCGGGCTAAGACTTTTAATTTTAGCATCCCTTTATAGTCCCTGTGTCTAAAAGGTGCAGTTTTACTGGTAAAATATTTTTCATCCTCACTCATCTCACATTATGCCAATTTTTCTTTTATATTTCCCTTCTTCCTACCTGAGTCCAAATACTGTGATAGTGTAATATTTCACCATAGCATCAATGTAACAGCTTGATGATGATAATATCTAGTACATTGACCATTGATGTATTTGTTTCCCTTACAGGTGTGACTATGGCCTATGTGAACCCCAGCTTGTCTGCCCATAAGACCACCTCTGCTGTGGAGCGTCAGCGAGAGTACCTGCTGGACATGATTCCCTCCCGTTCTATCTCCCAAGCAGCCAACACATGGAAATAATGCAATCTTACTCTCCTGATACCATAACAATTACCCCTCTTAATATCAATAACAGCCATTCACATTATCATTCTAATTCTTTCTATGGATTTCTATGCCTCTGGCCAAAATGGTGCAGGGGAGAATCGCTCTCTCTCTCTTTTTTTTTTTCTTTTTTTTTGTGGGAAGGAGGTGTCCCTCCATCTCCTCCTCAGATCTTTCTGCTACCATCTTCCTTACCTGAGTCCTTCATCCCAAATTGGAGTTGTGCTGCAATAGCTTGGGCTTCTGGGATGCGAGGAGTTCATCAAATAGAATTTGGGTACCTTTCTGAGGGTTGGGGTAAACATAGGCGTATACAATTTTACAAACTTCTCCAGTGATGTTGCCTCTCCCTCCCTGTATATTGGTTGACCCTCACAGTTGTACCAAGAGGAAGTTGCCACACTATCCCTGTGCTCCCCCGCCTCTGGATTAGGCAGGGAAAGAATAATAATCACTATTATACACAATAAAATATTCGCCTTACGTCCTGCCCCTCTCCAGTCTGAGCCAGTCAGACTCAGGCCCATGTGGTGGCCGAACCGAACTTAAGTCAAGACCTCATCACAGGGATTGTGGTGGAGCTTCAAGGACCATCCACAAAATAATAAGAACTGCTTCAGCTTTGCAAAAATGAATAGAATAAAAAAAAGACTGTAAAAAATGATCTCTATCTGCACACAGACTGCCTCTTCTCTCTAACCAACGCTGTGTATAGTAGAGAAGTTGACGTGTGTTGGATAATTTTGTATGGCTGAATGTTAGGATTTTGTCTTTTCTTCTGTAAGTCATATACTGTGTTTGGAATATTGTGCTCCCTGATACTTTGGAAGTGGCCTCTTGTCGAGGTCTGAATTTACAGGCTAATGTTACTGTTGAGGTGGTTTTACATCTGCTGGGTTCCATGTTGTGGCCTACTTTTAAATACTTTGTTTTTTCTAAGATGAAGAGGAAGAATAAAGATTCAAGGTTTCACTGACTCATGTAAAAACACGGAGCATATGTTTGGAGTACTATTCTTATTGAATATTGAAGAAAAAAAAAAAACTTCCAAAGAACTAGTGGAGCCCAAATGGAATCCCTTCTGCTAGAAGGTTTCTAGTTTATTTGAACCCTCTCTGGATATAAACATGAATTCATGCTAAACTGAGGGGGTGTAAGGAATGTCATATTTTTGACATTGTTTTGCTTTTAGTCATAGGTTGTGGTGCATTATTTTTCTTCTATAGACAAACTGTCTCTGGGTTTATTTATAGGGTCATGTTAGTAAAGATATATGCTTATGCCCTAAGTTTGAATGGATCTCCACATACAATGATTTGTTTTCTCTTGTGTGTCCAGTGGCTCCCACTCACCCTACGATTGGTCTGAGAGAAGCTGGACAGCTTTCAGAATGTAGTTATGCAAAAACCCCTATAGCAACAAATGACATGAACTTCTTAGTCTTTAACATTAAGGTGTGTATGATTTATGTCAGGTCCTTGAATTGAGCTAACTATGCCTTTCACATGAGCTATAGTGCATTTTTTTATCAGGTTGCAGCAGCACAGGATAAGCTAGTGATGTACAATATGTCCTACATTAAACAGGGGGAATCTGCATTGCTCATGGAGTTAAGTTATTTAACAACCATGTGCTGTCTTCTTTAATTTCAGTCAATGGGGTGGTCCAGTTTCTTTCACTCTACCACTCATGTCTACCAATGGTGTCATATTAATGTGGTCTATTGGAAAGTGTCACTAAATTAAAAAATATAAAATATTGACATTTAAGCAGTGAAAAAGTGTACCGTTAACAAAATCTGGATGTTTAGCAAGCCATATGTTAAAAAACAAACCTAATTCACAAAAGAGGCTGATCACCCCCCCACCCCACCCCCAGAGTTATTTTCTCAGTATCCCATATATGTCCATTTTTGTCCTTTTCACATTAAAACAGTAGTGTTGAATATCTCATCACTGTGTATTTACAAACCTGGAGTCTTGCTGTCCTGTTGTCTCAGGCTTGATTTCATCCATGATGTGATAATCTAATGTGACATTGTAAGGATTTGTGTCCTGTATCCAGAGTGCACTCATTAGCTCACTGATCATTGTCAAGCTCCATTCTGAAAGATGGTGCACTGCATTAGGTAAATGGGTATCAGTTGAAGCTTACCCCCCTGTCCTGGGGTATCATCACTGTACACGTGGGTTTCATTTAGGATGGTGCAACATACAGTATGTGCATTGCTGATAGAAATACAAGCATACAAAGTTTGATTTAAATTGCTTGAGATTTTGTGTTTCTGTCTCAAAGTAGCATTGGAAATCTTCCAGGTTGTCTGTACATTCCTGACAGGCAGAAGGTAGCAGCCCGCGTCTTGTGGATGCAAAATAAGCAATCTGGAATGAGCCCATCATTTTGTGCCCTGCTAAGTGTAACCCTGTGCTGTCCTGACTACTGCCTGCTGCTGCTGCTGCTGTTTGACAACAATATCACCATTCCGTTTGTTTGGGGTTGAAACGCTGCTAAAAGGCAGTGCATCCCAAATGGAAAAGAAAATGTATGAGAATTTTTTTTTTTTTTTTGTTTTTTTTTTTTTTTTTTTTTTTTTCTGCTCTATCAAATAATAATAAAACTAATTTTAACCCCTCTTTCATGACTGCTTTGCCTGTTTATTCAGACTGACACCGAGGTGCACACATACACACAAATCCCCTATATCTGATTAGGATGATGTCATACACTGGGTGGACACAGCAAAACCATCAATATAATGCAATAGGATACAATAACACAAGAGTTAATGTCTGCTAACCTTGTACTGTTCGATGTTGAGACACATGGTGATGGTAATTAATGTAAGACCTTTGTACTGGATTTCGTTATATGGGAAAGCTGCTTTCTTTTTACTTTCTATTCCCTGCGCAGCAGAAGTCAGTCTACATAGAAAGCAGAATCCTTTCTACAAGTTACATCACTACCAGTGTGTGAAGCAACAAAAAAAAAAGCAATTACAAAAGAAAATTACAGAGCACAGTTTGGAGTTCTCACTGTTATTCTAACTTTGAAATCGCAAGCTATCAAGACAGAAGTTATTAACATTTCCCAATTATTTCATTTTCTCCCACTGTGGTTTGTATCAAGCACAGAACTCAAACCTTGATCCACACCCTCACACCCTCCTGGTTTTTGACTCAAACCACTAAAGCGATGTGAGCGCTCAACTTTTTTTCTATGTAAGACTACAGGTTTATCTCATAAAAAACACATACACAGCACATAACACAAAATGTCAATTTAAATATCTACTCTAAGCGATAAGATAGATGAGACAGAAAAATGTGTATCTATCCTTTAATTCATAATGTTGTTGTAATTCTTAATATCATTAGATAGAAATAGACAGTTATAGAAATGTATATCACTGTCTGCTCTTATGGCTTTTCTAGGTAATAATGATCAGTTTTTTCCAGCCCCCACTTTGTCTACAATGACTCCAGCTTCAAACTGAAATAGTAGTACCCCTAGGTGGCAGAGTATACCAACATTCAGTTGTCCTCACAGGAATTTGACCAGTGTAATCTGGTGGAAAAACAAAAACCTACACCCTAATCTGTAATGTAAAACAAAGTGTGTTTGTTGAGCTGTAAGGAGTGGTCATGCAGTCAGAACAAACTGGTGGGAGAAAGAGAGAGAGAGAGAGAGAGAGGGAGACCTTTAAAGAAGAATGTGAGCTATTGTTCATTGCCACGACCCACTTATGAGCTTCATTCCTTGGCAGCTGCAGGTTCTCCCTGAGATACTACTATGCATATCCTCTGTCTGCATTTGTGTGTGTGCTTTTACTGCATGTTTGTATGTTATAATATTGACATTTTAATGATAGCAAGTGTTTTCTTCTGCTTCCCTAAATCCATATGATTATTCTCCATGCATTAAAGTCCTTTCGGGTCATGTATAGTCCCTTTTATATCAACCATCATATGTTCTGGAGCTGCAAAATGTTATGTACCCACTCAGGTACTATAGTATTATTATCTCAGTTTAGTGGGCTTCACCCACCGCCCACCATCGTATGAAAGGTATTAGTGTTTGTGATTTCACTGAGCAGTCAAGTGTTTCCTCACTCTGATGCTTGCTCTAGATTCTACATCAAGGGATCCTTTTGCCGCTAAGGAGTATGCGTGAACGTGTGTGTCTGTGTTTGTGTGAATTTGAGGGAGGGAAGTCGGGAGGTGGGGTGGAGGGGGATGCACCCTGGATGACTGAGCAGCTATGATTGCGACAGCCTGAGCCAATCAGCCGGCGAGCACCGTGCCTCCTGATTCTTAATTGGCTGGCTTTCCCGGTGAGCGCAGCTGATCCACGGAGCCAGCTGGTTTTATCAGAGAATGAGCCGGGGCCACAGTGGGAGAGGAGAGGCAGAGATACAGAGGCAAGATTCAGAGTGTGTGTGTGTAGCAGCCAGTAATTATCCTCCAGTGTCTGAGCCAATCAAGAGCCACAGACCATTTAGATACTCAGTCTGTTCCCAGGAAAAGAAGTAGGCAGTGTGTTTATTGAATCAGCGAAAGAAAGAGAGGAACAGAGGTGGTCTCTTTGGAGCGGCACAGCTTCTCTTTTCTCATATTCGCCAAAACGTGCTTGGTGAAAACAGATGGACAAGATGAACCACAGCTCAGCTGAGGCAGAGGCTGAAACCATAGAACCACTGCGCTACCTCAGGTAGGCACCTGCCCATTTCTGTGGCATCTCTCTCTCTCATGGACTCACTACTATTCTATTCTATTGCTTTTCTGCCTCTTCATCTCTGTTTCAAACTGTTCTTACAGTCACACAGTTCACTTCACAGGACTGTTCTTAAACCAGTGGACAGTGGGAGAAAGAGATAAATAGTGGCGCGTAGGACCCAAGAGAAATCTTCACATGAACAGTCTGTGAATCAGAGCAAGCTTTTAAAAGATGATGAGATGAGAGGGAATAATAAGAGATCAATTATTTAAGTCACCAATACTGGTGATGATGATGATGATGAAGGTGATTCTAATGATGTCTGCAGAAATATCATGGTTCATCCTAACAAACTCACCCTGCTTTGCCCGCCTTGAATTTTTTTCATTGCTCCCATTCCCCTCTGCTGAAGCCTCAAATTGAATTACATTCATGAGCTTTTATTCAATTAGGAAGCCCATGTTTAATTTGGCATCACATAGTACCAACCAAGCCAAGCATCTCATGATTCAGTATATTTGTGGATCAAGTTTGTTATGCAATTGAAGTTTAGGATGATGTATGTGCCCCTTGTTGCACCAGTTTTACTTTCAGAGTGACAGGAAGACAGAGATTTTTTGAATTTGAGAAACAAGAAGAGAGGTAATGCTCTAATCTAATACGTGTGTATGTGCGGTGTGTTTGCAGATACACAGTACGTATACCGAAACACACGTAAATTGTTTTTCCAACCTTTGATACAGACACATAAACCCACAGACTGCACATGCACATATTGATTATTCTGTTGGGCTCCACTTTAGATTCCAAGTGACGGTCTGTAGTCCTTCTGGGATGAACGCTAACTAAACAGCCTTTTGTCATCATCACGGTCAAAAATTAGACACCAAAATTGCAGCTCACATAAGGTGACATGTTGGCCTGACAATCAAAGAAGGCACAGATTAAAAAACTAAACCAAACACAATAATGGAAAACAATCTATTTCCCATTAGGTTTAAAAGCTTTATATGTAGCTAACTTAAGGCAGATCTCAGTTTTTAACACAGAATTACAATTGCATTTGTGGATGTGGTGCAGCTGAATGAACCATACTGACAAAGACATTTTTTTATGAAAAAGCACAGTATATTACAAACAAATAACATTTTACATAAATAGCTAGAAGTTAAATGTAAATTTGGGCACCACCGTTAAAGGGCAACTCCACACATCAAAGTCTGATTACAAGTTTGATAAACTGCCTCAAGTGATGTCAGTTGAGTCAGCGCCAGGTCTGAGGGCTGAAAGTTTGAAAATGAAAAAAAAAAAAAATCTGTGGGTGTGGAGATAGAAAGAAGAGAGTTTCCAGATCTCTGCTGCTAAATTAACCACCAGTAGCATTACACACCTGAACCTCCGACCAAACTGTTAGCAGTAGATAATGTAGGCACCAGGCACCAGAGAAGGAAGTAGTGGAATAGAAAAGATGATATCTCTGATTGTGCTACATTGATTTTTATCCTAACAAAAAAAAAAAAAAAACTGTCCATCATGAGTCCAACAATGTTACAGGAGTGTGATGCTAAATTGGTGGAATACGCTATGGTAACATATTGTGTATCTATGTAGGCAATATAAATGGTATGATAAGCTGTATAAAGGCACATATGTGTACACACATGCACACAGACAGTGGTGCATACTGAACCCCTTTAAATAGAAGGAATGGTGTTATTCTGTAGTATGATGACAGGATTAGAGTGTGAATCACTGAATGCTTTCTAGCCTTGCTGTTTTTGTCTCTGCTTAATCAACTGTAAATCGGGTGTGTTGTCACTCAGGAGGAAACATCACTCCTCTCTTTCTTCCGTCAACACATTTCAAATAGGATGATACATTTAATATAACCAAGACAGATGGCTTCCCTTTTCTGTTGATTCTTTTTGTAAATACAAATCACTCTGTGTGCCCCTAATGGATTTTACAGAATGTGTGGACATACGGTGCCTAAAGACGCCGTCATACAGAACACTGCATCTCCGCTGAGACTCATGTATCTAATGTAACCCTCACAGTTACTGTCATTGATTTAACTGCTTTAAACTCCACACACCAGTCTGCATCGCATTCTTTTTGTTATTGTCATGTCAATCAGTGCATGTGCCTATATATTAAATCGGTTCAATAATGTATGTAATTACACCCTTTGCGCTGCCTGCATTTACATTCTTCTCCATGTGTGTTGCAATCAGAGCAGCTGAGGCTGGCAAATTAACCATCACCCGAGAGGCTTCATCCCAGTCCGAAGACTCGCCGATCTCTGCAGCTTCATTGGGGCTGGCAGTCAGTTGAGGCAGTCAATTAAAGCCCCCATATAATACTGCAGGAGTAATTGATTATACAGTTACTATCATCACCAGGGTCTATGTATGTGAATGTGCACATGTGTGTGTGCATGTATACGTAGTGCTTGTGCGGTGATTCTATGATAATTCATTCTAAAATGATATATAGACATATATCCATGGTTGTTGCCAATCAAGTTGATAGCTGACAAGCAGCTGTCATAGCAACCTGTTTAAGCAAAACCTTGGAGATGATTTTGTGAACAAAGAAAAATTTGGATCTAATTACAGTCTGGCACTATAAGCTCTTATGATTTATGTAAAAAACAGGACATTATATTAGCCCCGAGAAACCCTTGTGATAAAGCTGTTCAATGATCTGATATAATTATATAGAAAATTGTAAGTAATGTATTTGCCAGAGGCGAGCAGAAACCCATTAAGTTATGCATGAAAATCTAAATACGTGATGATCCTGCTGTTTTAGTGTGATAATGGTTGTGACTGCAGGAAGATCCAAATTCATTCAGAGCACGACTCATCTTGTGCTCTTCTGTTTTTTTTTGTGTTAAACACACTGTAAGTTTTTCTTTTTATATTTGTTTCATCATGTGTGTATACATGTTTCATCATGTGTGTATACATACACACACGATGAAACAAATATAAAAAGAAATAACTTAATTCATGCCTTGAATAAAAATTTATTTCAACACAATCCATACACATTAACAGAAAGTAGTAGTTGCACATTAAAGTAAAGGTACTGCAGAGGCACTTGATGAGATGCCTGAGGAGGTCGATAACCCTGGTGATGACTTGGTCTTGGATCGGGAACAGTCGCTGGCTGCTGTCTGTACAGTTTTTGAAAGGTCAGATAAGTAAAATGCACAAGGGGAATTCTGGACTTGTGTGTGTGATTTATTCAGACAAATTAAGTGGCTCTACCTCTGTTTCCGAAAGGTCGATGCTCCTTGTTGTCTACATCTCACCACCTCAAGCTGTTCGATTGTATCTGTTCTTTACTATCAAATAACAGCAAATAATGTTCTAGCAGCAGGGGAGACCTGAAAATATCTGAGTATAAAAGCCTGAATATTTTCCAAGCCTCTCTGAATTTAGAAACTATTCTGAGTGGCATTTTTTTTTTCAGGGATGACTCAACAAACATCTGCCAGCACAATGTGCCACATTTGTTTAATTCAAAGCATTACACGGTGTATTTCTATGATGCTCTTTTGAATGTAATTAGACACTTTTCTCCCTCTGGATCTTTCTGATGTTCTTTTTTCTCTTCGTCCTCTCCTCTTCATTCTGACAGTGATGAATGTTCTGGCTCTTTGGTCCACCTTTCCCCTTTTGCCCACATTACCTGGGATCTGGGGCCAGTCGCACAGAGAAATATTAGTCTGGTCTGAGATATTTTCGTCTGCCTTTCAATTTGCTGGCCTGCCTGACTGTCTGTCAGTTCTGCTGCCAGTGTGTCAAGCTGTCTGACTTTACCCGCTTTGCTTTCATGTCTCTTACATTGGAAACAATGCATATTAGGCTTATTGTTATTCCTTTGGCTTGCCTCCCTCCTTTCAGATCCCTGCCACCAATTCCCATGTTAGCAGCTCCATTTGCCTGTGTGGCAGCGCAGGTATTTATTTATAGGCCAAATGTAATGATTGGGGCAGAGGGGTTGAGATGCAGAGCGGAAGAATGGAGGGTGAGAGATGATTTGCTATCAGTGCAGTGTTTGGCCATAATTTTCCTCCTCCATTAAAGTCAGATTAGCTGCAAGAGTTCTCCATTACTATGTTTGAGAGAGGTGCATGTGGGGAAGAGTGGGGTCGAAGGGAAGCAGGATGAGGACTGAGGCCTGGTTTCAAGTGAGTTATAGTTATATTTCTATGGCAGTAAAGTGTGAGATAACATAATCAAAGATGTAGCCAGACAGCTCTAAGTGCATTCACACAAAATAATTCAGTTACTTTGAAAACCTGGTTTGAGATAGGAGTTAGAATATGGTATTTTTTATGGTTTACAACCACAGCAAGCGTCTTCAGCCACGCTTGCAGCTCTGTGAGGCTAAATGCTAAAGTGACAATACTAACATGCTGGGGGGGGGGGCAGTATAATGCTTGACAGTGGCATGCTGTCAGTTAAAGCTAGAAATAAGTCCAATTAAAAAAGATACTGAAGTGCAAGCCGGATCTCTCCTTAAATCTGATCTCAGAACAGCATTCTGTCCAATATAGCTGTCGTTGACACGGCTTCTACCGTTCTGAGGTCAGTTATGATATTGCACGCATCATGCTCAGATGCGTGTGGGAACTAAACCTGCTTATGAGACTCTGAGAGGCAGCAGTAGCAAATAAACGAACGAATTACACTCATTTTTTCATCAGTGTACAGGATCTGCCATAAGTTTGAGACAAAATACTGTTACGGGAGTAGAGCAGCTCCTTACAGGAATAGCTCAGTACGTAGGTTGTGTGCGTAGCGGGAGAGAGAGAAAGCGATGATGCTGTCGACCGGAGCAGAGAGTTAATTAGTTAGTTAGCAGTCAGCGGTGCAGCTGTGGTCGTAGCGGTGTGATGTTTGTGCACTTTAGGCTGTTTTTCAGTAAATAAATGCTACGACTCATCAAGACCGAAGTTCCTCTGTGATTCCCAACTACAG